CATCTTCTTGCGTGAGAAAAATGTTTGATACCTCTGTTGGTGCAATTCACAATGACACAAACAAGAACCAGAACAACAGTTCGGACACCCTGACTAGTACAAAAATATAGACATTTCAAATGGCTGTTGGCAGATTATGAAGCAAGGATTCTAGTGATTCATGGCACCGATCTTGACAATCAATAATGCCACCTTGTTTTGACTTCGTGCATGCGTGTGTTGGTTTTGTCGGGCCCCGTGAGACGCAAGAAATCAAGTGAGAACATAGCAACGCAAGTGTTCACGTTAGTGATCCCTCCAACTTGGTCCCTGGAACCAAAGCTCGGGACAATTCGCGTAAACGGACATGGTTTCCTTGTCCGTTCGGACAAATCGGCTTATGACACGATGCTAAGTGACGGTGATTGAGAGGCACGGTTCATCAGGCAAATTCCTGTTTGAATCCTCTCATGGGAGACCTGCTATTCCGGTCATTGATTGTCTTCATGACACCCATGTAGAATACATTCATGGTACACTTTGTCAGAGAAACGGAAATACTAAGATTGTCATTAACATTATCCACGTGCTCTACCCACCCACAAAATATTACATAGAGCAGTCGCTTAACATACCGCATTTTGATCTTGGACCTCGTTGCATCAGCTCGTGACAATACAAAAGTTAACGAACTGATTGATCTCGCTGATGCTCATTAGCCGTTGTTTCTTAGCAAATTTTATTAGAAATTCAGGAAAAGTTCTTTCAGTAGGTAATCAGACAAAGAACCAGGAGCGGTATAGACAACGGGGTATGGATGCACAGACATGGTCAAACGCAAAGAATGCCGTATGAACATCGACAATGAGGGAAAGGTATGCCACAAGTTCCTGCTTTTATCTTGCATATGGCTGCGCCTCAGCCGGACTGAGCGCAAATAAAGAAATATCCACAAGAAGAGTCCGACCTAGCTGTGGTTCTGGATCGTACCCGCGGGGTACACCAAGTTAAACTGTGCAGTGGTGATCAGACACACCATCAAAATTCCTTAACGATGTTTCCAAAGTTGGTTGTGACTTAGTCCACAAAACAGAGCTGATCTGAGGTAGCTTTGTTGATGAAGATTAGTGATTGGCACCTGTCTATTTTCGACCACTAGCAGGTTGATTGACTCGATACTTCCTCCAAACGACCCAAGCGTAAAATCAGAAATCACACGCTTGCCCAGAC